TTGATTAAAAAGGTATAATGACACCAAATAGGAAAATGTGCAATAAATAAAGCCATAATAAAAGGCTTTGGTATTGAGATAGAAATAGGTGAGAAGAAATCAGCGGAGTAGATTAGATTAGAGAGCTAGAATGAGTCGTGTACACAGGGCGATTCGCTTTGAGAAGGGTGGCATTTGAAATCAGGGGACAAGAGGATGGATTATTGAATAAATATTAAGCCTCCCAGTTTCCTCTCTGTAAATAGGAGTTGTGACTTCATAGGGTTCTTAGGAGAATTAACTGAATTGATGTGTGCGAAATGTCTAAGAAGTGGTAGTAATAACAGTGGTGTGACTGGAACTATCAATAAAGCTAAAGTAGTTTAAAAACATGTGACACATTACATAGTATTTATAACTCTAGGCTGCTGCAACAAGCTTAGACTATTTAATGCGGTCTTGCATTCCTGCAGTGATTTTTGCTCTTAAGGCACTTTTCTGTATTTCATCTCATTTAATTCTTTCAACACCTGAGGAACAATTTTTTTGTCTTTTTTTTTTTTTAATCCTGCAAAGGATCATAAGCAGTGCTGGACGGCAAATGCTCAGATTTAACAGGGCAGAGACTCAGTGATAGCATCCAGCATGATAATGCAAATCCCTTTACCAGTGTTGCTTAAAGAATTTCCCAGAAGTCTCTGAAACTTCTTTAAAGGTGGAGATGGGGTGGAGAAAGGGCTTATGTGTTACCATTTGAGGGGTGTTTGAGCTGCCTCCATAAGAAAGCAAGGTGACCAGGGCTGGGCAGAGACAGGGACAGGTGTGGGGGTTGATGGCAGAAACGGTCGTGGGAGTGGGTGGGTGGGCAGGCAGCTGCTCCAGGCCACGCCCCTCTAAGCAAGGTTGTGATGGGTACATTCACAAGTGGGGCAGGGAAAGGAGACAAGAGCAGGTGTTTCTCATGACTGCCCTTTTTGTGTCGCTTCTTTGTAGCATGACCTTCCCCCATGAGTCAGTTTCCCTCTGGACACAGAATTTCTTTGTCAGGGTCTCTAGAAATGGATGAAGAATTGAAAACAGGCAGTTCCATGCCTAGGCTGGCCTTCCTTCTCACGGAGGGCTGAGTCCATTTCATGCCTCTGGCCTCCTTCTCCATCCTAAGTGTCAGCTTCCCCAAAGCCTACCTCCCACTTCCCAAGCCTGCTCACCTGTGGCCAGCTCACACACAAGGGCCCATCAGACCCTGGTGTCCCTCCTGCCTCTTGTAGGCGGGCAGTGTCAGCTCACAAAGGCTCTCTGGCCACATGTGTCTCGGGACCGCAGAAACTCTGGGGACTGGAGGAGTTCCACAGTGCTGCACTGCTCTGGGAATCTGAAAGCTGTCGGCTGTACTCCATTTACAGTGGGGTAGGGAGTCACAAAGTGAGTTAAAAAATAATTGCTCTGGCATCTTTTCTTCCACTAAAGGACATTCTCAGCTCTCAGCAGGGAGTTGAACTAAACCCAAAGTAGGAAACTGATATTTTAATTTGAATTGAAACTGAATTCAAATAACAATATTGTTCTCTTTTTGAAGTTTAAACTGAATCTGACCTGGACAAAATCCAGAAAATTCTTTACCCTATTCCCACTCTCCAAACAACTCCGAAGACTAGCCTAGATCACTCTGAATTCTGAACCTGCTTCATGTTTTGTTATGTTTTTCCAACCAAGTAAAGTAATATGTGAAATGATTTAAAAAAAAACTGTTTTATTACTGTGATAGAAACATGGCCTTTTAAATGCAGATTCTATCTTTGCTTTTGAAAGACTAAACTGAGTTGGTAAGATTTAAGAGATTTGTAATTAGAAAAATTTTTAAAAACTGAGATGAAATTTTGATTTGAAGTTCCACACTCTTTCTAAATTTGTCTTTTGTTTCTAATGATGAATTCAAACAGCTTTACACAGAAAAAAATTAAACTTGGTGAACATTATGCTGCCCTATCTTCGTTGCTGGGTCTTTAAGGCATTTCAGTATGACAGGGTACGGTGGTAGTAAATGTGGGTTCCTTGGCTCCGTGGCGATACCCCTTCAAGATCTCCGTTCCAGACTGTGAACAGAGCTGGAGGTCAGTACTTATATGTTGAGTGAACGACTCAGGAGAGGCCATCAGCCCTCTTCTATTCGTGGGCATTTTTGCCTCTGTCGCATCGTAGATCTTTGGTCTTGATTTCAGATTTTTTCGGTTCGGCCTTTTCGTCTTCTAGACCAGGCTGGTCTCCGGGCCTGTCTCCCAGCGCGGCGATCACCTCCCTCATCTCCTGTGATTATGTTACTCACTTTCTTCCCGACGTGTCAGTTCATCGTGTGCGTGTGTAATTTTCCTAAACATTCGATCTCTGATATGACCTTACTGTTTAAGTAACTTTTTATTAGAAGCTCCAGTTTTATTTTCTCCTTATATGGAGTTGTGTACTTTAAAAATATACACAAGAATAAAGAGACTATGTACGCTTGAAGAAATTTTTTTCCCTTTAGACACCCAAACATAGGCCAGTTCTTATGCTTTGGCTCCAACTTTACTTTTTCCCTTGATTTCTTCCATATTTATCTTTTATTTGTGGCTAGCACTAGTGCCTTCCATTGGGATAGCTAATTGGGGCATCTTTCCCAAATTGTACACGGTAGTTCCAAAGAGCAATGAGTAGGAAGAGAAGCGAGTTCCTCCTCCTTTCACACATGCCTCAGGTTGCTCTTTCTGACCTTGCCTCCTGAATCATTTCTCTATTTCTAATATTTTCAATCTTAATTCTAATGACCAATCCTGCAGAGAATTCACTCCACTGAGCACCTACCTCTGTCCCTCCAGGGAAAGCACAGGCAAGTAAATCCACATGCGCAGCACCCGTGTGTCTGTACAATTTCCATCGAGACGCTGCCTACCATCCGCTGCATGCAGGCTCGGCGGCGCAGTCACTGAGGGTGCCCCACTCCCAACCAGAGGTGAACACATGATTCAAACGAAGCAAATGGGAATCGTTCTCTATAGGATTTAGGTCCTGAGCCACATGACACGAGGACCCAAAATGGCAAAACAAATTCATCCCAAAGGAAAAAGCCGCCCCTTTACTTCCTGCTCCCTGGATCTCCAGAGCCACCAGGTCCTGCTGAGGCTTTTTCCTGTGACTCTCCAGCCAGGGGTGTCCAACCTTTTGGCGTCTCTGAGCCACACTGGAAGGAGAAGAGTTGTCTTGGGCCACACATTAAATACACAGGCACTTAAAAAACTGAGGAGCAAAAAAAAAAAGGTTTTAAGTAAATTTAGAATTTTGTGTTGGGCCGCATTCACAGTCCTCCTGGGCCCCGTGGCTGCGTGCCATGCCAGGCTATTATTCCACTGCACTCCTTTTGTCTTCAGTTATCTGGAGCATATTTCTGTTGTTGCAACCTAACAGCCCTGCGTGGCACGAGGGTTTGCAACTATCTGAGAAAGTCCTCTGTCCCTTGTTCTTGTGCTTTATCCAAGCTCTGCTGCAGCCACATAGATCAGTGTGGATCCTCCAGCCCTGAGCGCCAGATTGTTGAACTTGAGGGTTCACTTTCACCAGCTGCATCCCAGGTCCCTGAGCAGCCGCCTCTGCTTTCCGTGATCACCACTGCCTTTGGAAGACGTGGCACTATCCTGTTTGTATTAAACGGTGCTATGACTTTGAGATGACAGGGTACATTTATTTCACTGCCATGTGGAGATCAGTTGGAACTCTAGACCTGTTCTGTTCAAATAAACACAAACGAGCTAAACCAGAATGCAATCAGTCTCCTAGAATCCCTCCCCACCTTCCACCTGGGCTCTCTCTGACAACCGGTGACCTTTGGGTGAAATGGATGCAAAACGTGGGGAGGGAGACAGGATTCCTAGTTGCATGACATTTTTAGCACAGAGCAAGTCTTTGTGAGGCAGCATCACGGAGAGCTTTCATCAGGAATGTCAGGCATCTTGTCTGCCTCGGGCACTCTGCCAGCCTCCCCCTCCCTCTTGCCTCCTTCCCTCTTCCAGTCTCTGTTGCTGCCTGGAGGTACCTTTAGCTGATTCAAGTGTCCTCTGCAGGGCAGTGCCTCTGGGGATGGCTCAGAGACTCCTCAAAGGTGTCTGAGACACCACAGCCTTTCCCCTTGGTTCTTAGCTGGGCCTAACTGATGGACGTAGTGGCCCTAAGCAACAACGGTGAGGGCTTTGTTTTCAAAAATCAGACAGTACCCACTCTGGCAGTCCTGAAGGATCAGAGCAAACACTGCACAGAGCTTGGTGTGAGCTTCTGGAGGGCGGGGTTTGGGTCTGGTTCCTCTCTCTGCCCTCACTGATGGAATAAGCAGTTGACTGCAGTATAGCAGAGTACACACAACTACTTACTGTCAGCCCCTGACCAGCACGAGGATTCAAGCGTCCACTTAGCCAAGAGGAGGGAAGGAAGGTCTCCGGGGCCTCCCAGAGGAGGAGGGTTCAGAGTAAGTGGTTAACAGCATGAACACTGGACTCAAACAAGATCTGGGCACAAGAGCCAGCTCTGCTACTTAGCTGTTAATGCAGGCAAATTACTTATGTTCTCTGAGCCTGTCTGTAAAGTGGAGATAATATTAATATTTATTTCATAGGATTCTGTGACAAATGAAATCAAGTTTTATTTTACTTTGTTTTGAAATCAAAGGGTAGTTTATGAAAAAAGAATCAAAACAGAAACTCTAAGTACCAGTGTTTACATTGTGCACATTTAAATGACTCACAAGAGTGAAGTTTTTTTAATATACATTAAGACCACACCACTCTGTTGTTTAACAAAAGATCTTCAGGAATAAATCTGACTCCAAACTACATTGCCACCTTAAAGAGACCTCCTTTCAAACATGCAACAATGCCACTGGCAACAAAGCTTTGGAATGGGAGCCCATTCTATTATTTCACTCAAACATGATAGAAAGCAAGATAAGTTGAGAACTTTTTCTAAAACAGAATGGAAGGTGTAGTCTGCACCAGCACCCCTCACTCCTCTGCTGCCATTTTTAGCAAGCATTCTTTATCGATCTTAAAGAGTCTCCACCCCTCCTTGCTGGACAGATCAGAAGCGCCCCTTTTTTTTGTAGAAGAAGAAGACGGTTCATTCCATTCCGCTCTCAGGAAGTGCATGCTGCTGCAGCGACATTTCTCCACAACCTGGTTTAGAGTCTTCAGAGTTTCTGACCCTATCCCAAGGCTTCTATAATCACTCCTTTCGAAGAAGTCCTCAAGACACAAGAGTCTGCCAATCCAAGGGTCATAGGTAAAACAGTCTGAGGCAAAACCAAATGCTGTGTCCTTCCACAGAGCTGGGCCCTTGGATACTTCTGCCACCAGGCAGTGGTGGACGGGGTGCTTTCCGAAACCATCCTCCAGCAGGTCTTTTTCAGTTAGCATCGCTTGTTCTTCCATGCATTCCTATTTAGCCAGTTCCTGAGGCTCAGATCAGATCTTGAAAGCCTCCAGTATGGACAGTGGTCTGTAGTAACAGTGCAATAAACATTAACTATCATTTAATTAGCAGTAAAATCATCAGTAATTACCATAGCTACCAGGGGAGGAGCAATGTTCTGGCTGGCACTGGGACTTTTCTGGAAGCAAAAGCTCTGGGAGAGCCTTTCCAGGGATTCGGGACTAGAAACCACAGTGAGGGCATCCCCACCCCACCCGGCACAGCACAGTGGAGGCCAGGATAAGACAGACCAAAACCAAGAGGAGTTTGCTTTTCCCACCCACGGCAGGCTGCTGCATAAACCCTGAGACGTAGAACTAACCTTAGGGAGAAGGAAGAGGAAAGGGTGAGTCCTGTAGTCACACATTGGCTTCTAGGGGTAGAGGCCAGGGTGCTGCTAAACATCTTCCAATGAATAAGATGGCCCCATAGCAAAGAGTTCTTTGGTCAAAATGTCATTAGCACCAAAAAACTTCACAAACCACTTTGGACATGTTCGATCAGTCACCGCACCTTTTCCATCACAGCACGAATCTGTTTTTGCATTTCAGTTGTGTTTTTACCTTTCTTGAAGTACTAAAACATAATACACCAAAAATGTTGCTTTTCTTCTTCCATCTTCAACATTAAAATGACTGCACATTCGCCAATTTTAAGTTTTTTAAAATGCACACTGATATGACAGCTGTCACAATACAATCTAACAAGATTGTTTCTAATGAAGACAACTAAAACAACTAGAGTGACCGTAGAGAAAACTAGATGAACTTTCTGGCCAACCCAATACATTAACATAAATAACAGTACCAATACAAAACAAGTAACATTTTCCAAAACGAAACAAAACAAAATCTTAGTGATTGACATTCCTGCAAATCCCTTTAACGTCTGGCTTATTGGAAGACAGCTGGATTCTCAGATCTGCTTGCACATTCAGTTTGTTTTGACCAGTTGTTTTAGCTGAGGTATATGGAAACAAATCCAGATTCGCAGAGATCTGCAGTCACAAACGGAGGATCTTACAGACTCCTGCTCCCCAGGGCTCCTGGAACTATACTTTGAGAACTGCTGGTCTCAAGAAAGGGCAGGGCTTCAGATGCATGTCTTGAGGTAATCTGTCTGACGGTGTGAGAGGTGAGCTCTCGGGAGGAGAGACAAAAGGGCAGAGAGAGCGCCAAGGCTGAGCTTTGCTGCATTTGTGCAGTTGACCCTCATTCTTCATCAGTTCCGTATCTGCAAATTTGCCTACTTGCTGAAATTCATTTGTAGCCCCCAATCATTATCTGTGGCACTTTGGGGGCCATTCCTAAACACGGTGCAGATCAGTGAAAAACCTGCGTTGCCTGGTGTCCACATTCCCCACTGGGGTCACACAAGGTGATCCTCTACCTTCAAGTGCCAGTTCTTGCAGTGTCGATGTGTCCTTTCTGTAGTGTATTTAGTGTCACCTTTTTCACATTTTGTGCTCTGTGTTGGTGGTTTCACTGTCCGAATGGACCCCACACGTGGTGCTGAGGTGCTGTTTAGCAATCCCAAGTGCAGAAGAGTGCGATGCACCTTATGGATGACATACTTGTGTTAGACAAGCTTTGTTCGGACATAACTTACACTGCTGTTGGCCATGAGTTTAGTGTTAATCACTATATTAAATACAGTAGATCAATATATAAAATCATATGAAACAAATCAATATATTAAATAAGGTGTCTTTAGACAGAAACACACATAAAACAGGGTTATATATTGATCAACTGATGAAAATGATGGGGCCAGAGTCTCGCAGAAACCTAACTTGTACTTCCCCACATGCAATGGTTCGGTATCCATGGCAACTTTATGAAACATAACCACTGTAAATAATGAGGGTCTATTGTATTTAGAGGGGAAGGGAAATCAGTGATGAACACAGAAAACCCACGGAAAGTCTTTCCCAGTGAGCAAAGTTTCCAAACACAGGCACTGGCCATCCTGTCAGATACTGCAAGGCAACCAGGGAGAAAATGTTCCACCTCCGCTGTCTCCACCGCCACGCAGAGGGGTCCCCATCACCTCCCGCCTGCACAGGTTTCTCCAAGCCTTTTTCAGGCCTCTATAAATAAATAAAGCATCGAGGTTCACTCCAAGCGGAGTACACCTTCCTTCCTTGGACTGTAATGAGAGGTCTCCTCTTTTCTGCCTTAAGAAGGGCAAAGGAAAATCAAGTGGCAGATGACAGAGGTGAGCTGATTTTGAAAAGAGGGTTCTGAGGTACCTACATTTTTGAAGTACAACTCTTTACTCTCCCAGAGGCGAACAGAAGGGTACCAGCAAGCTTTCAGCCAGGAATTGCCAGAAAAGCGAAAATCTTTTGATGAACTCTAGGCTGAATGTGGCTAAAGGAAAGGTCATAACCCTCCCTGGTTCTCAGGTGATTTGATGCAAGGTGGACTCGGCTTCTCTGCCAGCGTTTGACTTCGTGGTCATGGCACACTTCCACCACCTGGTGACCACACACTTAAATTGCAAGGCCTGCTTCTAGAAGCCAGGGGAAAATCCTTTGGGCGAATGGAGAAAACTACTGATAAGAACTTAGAGCAAATAATTGCCAATTCTTTTTTACCTAAAAATAATAAATTGGTAAGTCTGGACCAATCTATAGTGACCACTCTCTTCCCTAGATCACTGTACATTTTTTGGTGTGTGTGTGCGTGTGTGGTGTTTTGTTTTTTTGTTGTTTTTTTTTTAACCAATACCTGGAGAAGAGTGAACAGTTCTTGACTTGGCAATGGATGGTGAATAAGAGTCAAATGACTGCTTAACAACCGGAGTGAACAGCATCTTTTCCTCATGGGCACCTGAAGACTTATTTCAACCAGGCCTCAGAAGCAGCTTCCTCCAAAAACAGAATTTGGTTTTGCTCCTCTGAAGTGTGCAGGACCCTAAAATCCTTGCATTAGTAACTAATTCTATTTCCTTACCGGAGTCTTCTCTTTGAAGATGTAGACACCCACTGTGATGGGTGAGCTGTTAAAGCACTAACATTTTAGTGTGAATAACTGTCTTAGCCATGTTCCTGGAGGGCACTGGAGGAGGTTAAGGATCCCCAAATTGGGGAGAAGGCTTCAGGCTGGGTCTTTCTGATTATCTGGGGGCCAACAGGGTCAGGGAGGGCCCCTGGTGACAGCTGCACATGGTAACCTGCTGTACTCCAGCCCCAAGAGCTCTGACAAAGCCCACGGGGCAGGATCCCCAGAGGAGGCCGTGGGTGGTGAGCCTGCGAGGCCCCTGGGGGACTGCTACGGAAGACTGAAAGCCACAGGATCCCAAAGCGGGAGCTGCGCCCTCTAGCTGGGGTGCGCTTGTTTCTTTAAAGTGAAGCTTGTGGACCCAACCCTTGCCACAGACATCAACTGCTTTGATGCCAGAGGGGCAAATCTCTAGTGGGGATGCAAGCCCTGACACGAGGCAACAGGGCTCTTGGCTTCACGCAGAAAAGAATTCAAGACAGGAGCCAGACAAGAGGTTAACTTGGAAATGCAGGTTTTATTCAGCACAGAGAAGCACAAAAAGACATTCCACAGGCAAGAGGAACAGACTCTTCTCAGGAGACGACGAAGACCCAATCACCACCAGAGGTTGAGCTTATATCTGTTCATAGTTTCTATGGAAAACTACTGCATAGGAAAATAATGGGAAAAGGTTGGGATTAACTTTAATCTTTACAAGGTACATTTTGTAGTCTGTTTCCCTTTATGGTACGGGTAAATAACAAGGCATGGGTGAGGAGCTATTAATCAATCTTCGCAGGAATTTTCTTTGTCCTGAGGCTCCTCGTGGTCCACTTGAGTCTCCGGCCAGTCGGCCGAGTTCCGTGTCAAGCGGCACGAAGCAGACCCCTGACTTAGCTTTGTTTGGCTTTAGTTGATTTATACATTCCTCGTGCCCGTCTCCCATATTAGTTTAGTCCTCAATATTTAAAATTGGGAGATTTCACATAAAAATCTGGACTTCCAGCTTTTTCCGAAAAAAGAATGAGGATAACAAGGAGGAGACGGGCACTGTCCCGTGACTGGGACTTGCTGGGACTGAGCGGGGTGCCCCACCGAGGGTGCGCCCGCCCCAGCCCGCCGCAGCTTCACAAGCCCCGGGCCGCACTCACACTCACACTCACACTCCCGGACTGGCTCCGGAGACCGTGTGAGGTTGCAACTCTGCTTTCAAATGCTAATGATAATTAAAGGTACGATACAAATAATGAAAATATAAGTAATGACCAGTTATTTCATGCTAATTCAAGCCAGACATTGTGCTAGTAATATTATCTACAAACCATCTTTAATTCTAAAAAAAAAAGTTTTCTATTCCTATATTAGAGAGACGGAAACCAAGGGACAAAGAAGAGTTTCATATTCACATGTCCCTTGTCACATTTGTGTTAGAATATTGCCACTGTAGATTTTCTTAGGTATTTATTACACATTTTGTATTTGTTTGTCTTCATTCTCATTTGGTTAGAGACTCCACTAAAAATGAACAGCACTACGTTCCCTTTCAACACAAGCAATGACCTGGCTCTGTTTAAACACCAAAACTGCAACCACACTGTGCTGCCTGCAACTCTAGATTCTGAACAGCACCCTCCTGACCTTCCCCATCCTGCGCAGGAGAAAAAGGAATTTGTTTACCTACCAAGGCTCCTTTTCTAAACCACAAATATTCAATGGCTCCCTACTGTTTTGCTAATTTATTAACAACTAGGCTGTATTTCAAATGACCGAGTGCGTTGGTGCCAACAGGGAAAAGGAGAGGTGTTTCCACTCGTGCCCACTTATTAGCAACGGAAATCCATTTGAGCTGCTGCTTCTGACACTGTGAAGTGCGCTCCCTAGGAAGGCAATGAAGGAAGCCTGAGGCGGTAGAGAACGGGGCTTTCCTCTAAACATGAAAATAATGCTACTGCCCTCAA